AAAATACGTCCCACGGAACGATCCAAGGAGTGCATTACCCAGGTGGAACGATATGGTTCCGTAGAGTGGATGCAGTGATAGCTACGTTATGATATATCTCTACGAAGAAGAATGTTTGTCTGTCTGTCTTGGTCGCTTATGTAAGAGGATCTCCTTACATAACAACTATACTTTGGAAGCACGCCTGATCCGCTGGATCTATCCGCTATCGCAGAAAATCAGTCGTTTCTAAGATAAGCTAGTGTAGAAAAACGAGTCATCCATCCAGTATGCACTAAAATACTATGTCTGGATGAATTTTTGTGGACTAAGTTTGTCGACGCTTTTTTTAGTATACTTTCGTGGACGTTTTCTAGTAGGCTCTTTTCTGGACGCTTTTTTTTACCGTGTAGGTTCTATTTCTGTAGAATCGCATCGAAACATTTTTTCAGACATCAAAATGGAACTGTCAATATTTTCAATCCTATCCTTAATATTAATTCTTATCATTTTCTACAGAATATTCAACTTTTTCCTATTAAAACCGTATTTAATCGATCGTAGCTTACGTCTACAAAATATTCCCGGCCGATATATACCGATTATTGGCAATATTCTACATATTCGACGTTCCTTACGCAATGGCACACCCATGCAATATCTTCATGAACAAAAAAGCTTATACGGCAGTTACTATCGTTCAGCACTTGGACCCATTGTACGCCTGACTACCAGTGATCCATCAATTATGAATTATGTTCTAAAGAAAAATGTAAAATGTTATCATAAATCTGTTATAATAAAAGATTTTCTAGGTAAATTATTAGGTATGCAAAATTTATTGACAACTGAAGATGACGTACATTCATCACATCGTAAAATGATTCAACCTGTATTCCAACATCAAAATCTTGTATCAATGCAGAGTCTGATGATTGATACGACAAGTATTCAGTTGGATAAATGGAAGAAGCAGATTGATAAGCGATCGGAGAAATCGATTAATTTAGAAATGCGTAGTGAAATGTCAATTTTAACATTGGACATTGTCACAGCATGTGTATTTGGTACAGGATTAATTGAAGATGAAAAAGTCCATGATATTATACACCAGTCTGTTATAAATGGACTGAGTGCACTGGAACGCCGTATGTTCAATATGACTGGATTTCTACCAATAATTAAAAGTTTACCTCTTTCATCAAAACTTAAATTGGATAAAGCAAATAAAGATCTTAATATCGTTGTTAACAAAATTGTTAGTGATCGAAGAGAAGCATTGACACATTCAGCATGCAAAGGTAGTGAATTTAGTCTAACCTAATTCATATCGATACACTATGAACAAAACACTTTTATTTCATAGGACCAGATCTATTAGACTTGCTTTTATCAGCGGAAAATGAAGGCAAACAAAAGTTTACACCAAATGAAATACTGCAGGAGTCACTTACAATGGGTAAGCTATTAGCTCTGTATTTCATAATTTTGGTGGCAGAAATTAAACTGCAGAATTTGGCAGTAATCTTTAGTAATATGTATTTTTGCGTGGGTTTTTGAACCTGCCTATTGCAAACTTTCTATTAGATCTCATTTCAGTAATGTTGTTGTTGTATCACTACAGAAAGCTCATCACAGAGCCGGCATGGTTCGCTCTATGGAATTTTATCCCGAAAACTTCCATCACGCCCCATCCCATGTGATCCCATGAAATTTAAGAGACATTTCGTGAAAGAATCAAGCATAACGCCAAAACATCCTGCAAAAAACAATTGACATACACCTTTTTTTTTCTATTCTCGGATTCTAAAATCAAAACTGGGGTTCTGAAAGAAGTCCTAGACTTGTAGGATTTACTTTGACTCAGTAAATCGTCGTAACCAGTAATTTTAGACTGCTGGACCGTGTTCTATAGAGTCAGAAGAAATCGGCAGGCCTGGTTGCACGGAACGTTATCTGCTTGGGTAGGAAATCTTTCCGACTGCTACTGTCATTTTCGGTGTTACTCGTTCTCATGGCAATTTAAGATTTTTCAACTTCATTTTTGGATGAAAAAATTGGAAAATACGGATCTTTTGAACTGCAGGATAAAACAGCGAACTTTTCATGTTTGATCGTCTTTCAAAATTTCAAAACCATTTTTTTCTTATTTTCCATCGGAAACTGAGTCTAGAAAGCTACTTTTGGAAATTTAGAAGCTAAAATGGATTCAGAATATGCGAAGTACGAGCAGGATGGTAAAGGAGGTGCCGGTCAATTTTACGAACCTATCTAGTCCCGCGATTTTGGGCATCAAATTCTTTCTTTTACTTCATTCTGGTCGCGATACTTGTGCAAAAGAAATATGGTACCTGTTAGCTGGCACTGCATTACCTCATCGTCG